ATGTATCCATACTAATTGTACATTTGGGTGAGTTTTGACTAGTACACCCATAAATCACCTCCATAATCATGTAGAGTATTTCTTTCAGCCCCAGAATGTTCCCTTTGTCCCATTCCAGTTAAGTCTCCCAATCCCCCCCACTCCAGGCAACCATTGGTCCATTTTCTATCACCATAGATTAACTTATCTTTTCTAGAAGTTCACATTAAGTGCAGTCATATGTCTATATTCTTTTGTGTCATGCTTCTCTAACTCAGTATAAGGGTTTTAAGATTCATCTGTGTTGCTGCATGTGTCATCTTATTGATGAGTAATGGTCTATTGCATAGATAAGCCACAATTTGTTTATCCACTCACCTGCTGATAGACCTTTGGGTTGTTTCTGGTCTTTTTATATTACAAACAAAACTGCTCTGAACATTTTTGTACAAGTCTTTGTGTGGATGTATGTTTTCTGCATTTCTCTTGGCAAACACCTGCGAAGGTTAATGGCTGTGATTCTTAATCTTATGCATTTTTAATTTTTTAATTGTGTCCACCTGACTGGCCACAGAGTGCCCAGATTAAACCTTATATTTGGATTGTCTGTGAGGGTGTTTCTGGATGAGATTAACATTTGAGTCAGTGGACTCAGTAAAGGAGATGGCCCTCCCCAGTGTGGGTGGGCATCGTGCAATCTGTTTAGGGCCTAACCAGAGTGAAAGGTGGAGGAAGGGAGAATCTGTCACAATCTTCTGTCTCACCGTGTGAGTGGCGACATCTCATCTCATCTTCCCGGGGCCCTCACACTGCCATCCACTCCCGGATCTCAGGCCTTTGGACTCAGACTGAATTATACCACCAGCTGTCTTGGGTCTCCAGCTCGTCCACAGCAGATGGCGGGACTTTTCAGCCTCCGGGATTACTGTTTTCCAACCTGATTCTCCCCTCTACATTCTCACCAGACAATTCTAATGATGAGTGGTAGGATCCCATCGTGCTTTTAATGTGCCTTTCCCTCATGACTAATAATGCTGAAGACCTTTTCATATGTCTATTAGCTTTTGGGAAACATCAGATCAGTGTATTCTTTGTATATTTACATATATTCTAGATAGACAATATTTTGGATGATATATAGATAGAGAGAAAGAGAAAGAATATTTTCTCTCAGTCTGTGACTTGTGTTTTTTCTGCTATATATTTTTTATTTAAATTCAGTTAATTAACACAGAGTGTATTATTAGTTTCAGAGGTGGAGGTCAGTGATTCATCAGTCTTATATAACACCCAGTGCTCATTACATCACGTGCCCTCCTTAATGTCCAGCACCTAGCTACCCCGTCCCCCCACCTCTTCCCCTCCAGCAACCCTCAGTTTGTTTCCTATGATTAAGAGTCTCTTAGGGTTTGTCTCCCTCTCTGATTTCGTGACTTGTGTTTTCATTAACAAATTTTTTTTTTGAGGAACGGAAATTTAAATTTTGATTTAATTTTGATTGATTAGATTTAATTGAAGATACATATATCCATGTGTTACACACTGAGTTAGGGGTCAGTTTCTCCTTTTTTCCCTCAAGGGTCTCTAACTAACCTAAAACCATTTATTGGGGCGCCTGGGTGGCTCAGTCATTAAGCGTCTGTCTTTGGCTCGTGTCATGATCCCAGAGTCCTGGGATCGAGCCCCGCATCGGGCTCCCTGTTCAACGGGAGGCCTGCTTCTCCCTCTCCCACTCCCCCTGCTTGTGTTCCCTCTCTTGCTGCGTCTCTCTCTATGTCAAATAAATAAATAAAATCTTAAAAAAAAAATAAAACCATTTATGGAAAAGACCGTTACCCCCCACTCAATTACAGTGTTTGTTTTCTTCTTATTGAATCGTAAAAGGTCTTCATACATTCTAGATGGAAATGCTTTGTCAGTTAGATGTATTGAGAACATTTTCTCCCTGTCACTTACGTTTTCATTTTCTTAACAATATCTTCTGGAAAGCAGAAGTTTTTCATTTTGATGAAGTCCAACTGATCATTTTTTTTCTTTTATGATCTGTGCTTTTGTCCTGAGAAATCTTTGTCTAACCTCTGGTCACAAAGATTTCTTCCTCTGTTTTTTTTTCTCTAGAACTATTATATTTTTAGGTTTTACATTTAGTGCCATTTTGAGTTGATGTTTGTATGTGGTGTGAAATAAGAATCAAAGTTCAGTTTTTTGGTTGTTACATCTTTTTTATTAATAAGCTTAATTTTTAGAACAGTTGTAGGTTTATAGAAAAATTGAGTAGAGAGTCAAAAATTTCCATATATCCCACACCCGATTTCCCCTATTGTTAACATCTTACATTAGTGTATTTGTTAAACTAATGAGTGAATACTGACACATTATTAGTTTACCTAGTGTCTTTTTTCTGTTCCAGCACCCCATCCATTCCATGACATTTAGTTGTCATGTCTCCTTGGTTTCCTCTGGGCTGTGACAGGTTCTCAGACCTTCCTGTTTTTGATGACTTTGGCCTGCAGTTGTTTATACCCTTTGGTCCTGCTCACTGCCTGTCCCGAATGTCCCACTCCACTTTATGATGGATTGCTGCTAGATCTGCCCAACCTTTTGGCTTGTGAGTCTCACAGGACCTTGTTCAGGATGGGCAGCCCTGAACACATAGACAATACTTGATGTCACATTGTCAAATGTTCCATCTTTACCAGAGGAGAGTAGCACGCCAAGAGGTGGTTTTCCAATGTTGTAGAATCCTGTCCTAGAGAAGGTATGATCTTTCTCCAAAACTCTGTGGTCTATACTGAGACTCTCCTACTGGGGCTTGCTGTCAGCTCTGCAAAGTGACTTTTCCTGCCGCAGGTATTTCTAGTGCCATGGTATCTGCTGGATCAACTGGCCTGTGTCAGAGATTTTCATACTTCTGTCTGTCTGGACTTATTCAGAACCCTTTCCTGCTCTGGGCCTGATTCATACCTTGTAGCCTTTCATAGTACTTAGTAAATGGATCAGACAGCATTCTCAAGTGTGAAATACACTGATTGTGGAGCCAGAAGCCGCTGGCCAAATATTGCACTACCTTCTTTGTGTTGACAAGGAACAGGTGCAATAATTTGTCCTTTAATTTCATGGAACTTTCTGGCACACCCATAAACACTTCCCTGACATGACAGACCCCTGAATCTTCATAGAGTCTACCTCCCACCGTCATGGAGCACACCGGGGCCTCCAACCTCCTAGGCACTTCTTGCTCATCTGGTTAATATAGTGTCATTGGTGTAACAGACTAGTGTGATAGTCTCTGCAATGTCCTGTGGTTCAGGTCCCCACGGATTTATCATGAGAGATGGTGGGATAGTTAGCATAGCTCTGGGGCAACCCTGTAACCATATGCTCCTGTCTATCGCCTATGAATAAGAGCTGTTTCTGGTCCTGGAAAAGACTGGGAAAGAAACCATTCACCAAAGCCATGGCGGCACTCCATGACCTCGAGGCTGTGTTGATCTGCTCTAGCAAAGACACCACATCCCGTGGTGCAGCTGCAGCTGGGGCGGGAAGAGAGGGACTGTGGCCGAAGATGGGACTGACTGAAGCTGGCACCAGTTCCGAGTGACCCGGAAGAGCTGGGTTAGACTTGTGCCTGGACACAGTGAGGAGCCCTTACAGGTTTGTAGGCCATGTACTCTATCCCCTCGCTAGTTTCAAACAGAAACTGTTGGCTAACATGGAATAGTTTCTAGGCGCCATCTCTAGGCGGAATGGGTGCTGTGTGCTGAGATGACCGCCCAGCTCCTACCTTCAGGATTGAGACACGCATTCTGCGGGCCTCCCAGCCACACCCAGCCGCCATTATTCCCAGGAGAGAGGCGCCCTTGCAGTCCTCTGCTGTTCTTTCTTGGGAACATCTCCTCCACTTCCTACACTTTCAGATATTCTCTTCACTCCATAAGACTTCCTTAGGTGTCTCCTCTCACCCCAGATAGGATTAACTGCTTCCTTCTGTTTCCAGAGCATTTTGTTCATAATGTGAGTTTTGGATGGCAGAGACCCTGTGTATCACATTATGGCTCTTTGCCTGGTTGACCCCTCTGTGAGCACTCTGGACGCAGACTAGGCCATGCCTCCTTTGTCTTCATGTCACCAGAGGTTTGCGTACGGCCCAACACACACAGGCATCCAAGGAATGGTTATTGAATTAAATTTGTTATTTAATTAAATCTGATTCCGATGCTACGGAAGTAAAAAAAAAAAAAAAAAATCCAGGCCGGGATGCATACTTTATCTTTTCATAAAATATATATTTGTTGTCACATAATGAAAAGAAGGACTCAGAGAAGTCTTTTTGTGCTGATCTAATTTAGCATTCTGAATTTGCAAAGTAAAACTGTCATAAATGAAAACCTTTTCTTTTTTCTCCATCTGAATTGGAACTGTTTAAACAGAAATGCACATGACTCTATTACCTTCAAAAACGATTTAATTTTGTGTGTGTCTGTGTCTGTGTGTGGATGTGTAGATATGAGCTCGTGTTGTATTTGGAAACTCCCACTCTTTGACTCATTGACTTTTTATCTTCAAGCATTAACTTCATAATAATTAAGGAAACAGGATAGTGCTGAAAGCAAAGATACTTTTGTTTATAGCTTAAAAATTACAACCTAGTTTTTAGTTTAACACAAACCCGAATTCTTTTTAAATTTTGATTGGGGCATAAGTGATTTACTGCCGTGAAGACTGTGAGTTTGACATGTGTTTACATTTTTCAGGTGCAAATATTCAGTGGCAGGATTTCCAAATTCCAGTTTCTAGCACTTGACTATTTGTTTTAAATGTAAACTGCAGATTGAAATGCATACATAATTTGCCTGTTTCTGCATTATGGACCACGTATGTACGTTTTAGACAACAAACAAGACATTTAACCAAGCCAGAAAGTGCTCATTATATTGGTTAGAACTAACTTGCCATTAACTTTAAGGCCCTAAATCTCAGTGGCTTAAACATGATAGAAGGGTATAGAGTGCATATTTCTCTCATGAAAAGTCTGAGTGTGGGCAGTTTAGGGCTTTGATGATGGCTCTAGGACCATCTGAGCCATAGGTGCCTCCAATTTTCTGTTCCACCAACTCAAAGACCTGGTCCTCATTCTTCTGGTCCAAGATGGAGCACTGGCCATCAGACCTATATTGCAATGCTGAATGGATAATAGGAACAAGAAATGGCCTCTGTCCCTCGGAACCTGTGGACATCACTTCCTCTCATATCCCATTGGCCAGAACTTAGTTCTGGGGCTACCCAAACATCTGGCAAATGACACTGAGAAGTATGGTCTATACCTAGTATGGCCACATGCCCAGCCAAGTATTGGTCCTATTATGAAGACAACGGGGAAAATACATAGGGGGACCCACTGATATCTTTGCCACATGCACACATACCAAAGAGAAAACACAAGGCCAGAAAACATTTTGCAAAACAGTACATTGGAGGATTCCAGCTTTTGGGAAGCTGTCTTTGTTTGTCTTCATTTCTTCCACTCGCCCAAACATAAGTCTCCCACTTCCATTTCCTGTTTTTGTGTGTGTCAGGCCACGTGTTCATCAGAGTCTCCATGGCCTGGCAGTCTCACTCCACAGAGGGCCTTGGAGATGACTTTGGTTATTCCGGAATGCATCTAATTTGTCCTACATGAGCTCAACCCTGAGCAGCCGATTCATTTGGCAACAATAATTTATTTATAAATAATCATGAACCTTTCCTTAAGTGTTTGTTTTGCATTTGGTCGGCTAAAACTACAAAAAAAAAAAAAAACTGGTTTGCTGAGAGTTTAGAAAAATGACACTAGCAATTTGAGATACAGAACTGGGGACATAGGTGGGAGGAGGAAATTGAAGTTAAGACACACTCTAGTGGTTCTCTTGGAGCAGCTTCAACTGCCAGGGGAGTGGGTTTTCCATCTCTTTCTCTTTCAACTGGGAATTTTTATCACTTTCAGAAACCACATCAATGCCAAGAGGTTTTGGTTTTTTCTTTTTTAATTTTTTTTTAAGGGCAGGGGAGAAACGTCTATCAGCTTAACATTACCCTTGGTGCTGTGGGAAATACAAGAGATTTTTGTTTTCTAGACTTTAAGAAAATGAGAAGGACAAGGGTATGGATTTAGTTGGGATAAAGTAAGCTTAGCTGCAGTAACAAATAAATCGCAAAATCTCATTGGCTTAACACAGTAAACATTCCTTTCTTACTCACCTTTCAGTCTGCAGCAGGTCTGCCAGCCACGCTCCATGTCCCAGGACTGCCATCTGGAACTCACATCCTTCACACTTGCCCTGGAAGGAGAAGGGAGGACTGGGGGACTAAGCAGGGTGTTTTTAAGGGCCAGATTTGGAAGCTTCTTTGGCACGGGCCAGAGTTCAGTCAAGTGGCTGGAACCCCAGTGCTGGTTCAGCTGAGGCAGGAAGCCTAGGGTATCTGTGTGCCCAAGGATAGGAAATGGTGTGGCAGACACGTGGCCATGTCTCCACCACACCTGGGGTTAACTTCCAGCTCTCGAGCTTTTCATCCTCCTTTGTCTTACATATAAAATATGCACAATATCAACTGCTTGGGTGAAAGTTCAGTGCTTGACATCTAGGTCTTCATGAAATACCGGTTCTCTTCCTTTTATGTTGAAGCATCTGCAGTCTTGGAGACAATACTTAACGTATGTGTCTAAAACTAGAAGCATCTCTGACCTCGTCCCGAACACTGCCTGCTTCCAAGCACTGAGGGTGATAATTAAAATGAAGATTTCTCTCCCCCTCACACCCAGACAAGAACACCAAAAATAGGAATCTCGGGGGTGGGCCTGAGAAGCTTCACCTTTATAGTCTCTCCCCAGATTATTCTTTTATTTAAAAAATTATGATAAAATATACATAGCATAAATTTACCATCTTAGCCATTTTTAAGTGTACAGTTCATGTTATTGTATGACCAATCTCCAGAACTCTTTTTGCTTGCAAATCTAAAACACTGTACCCATTAAATAACTCCCCATTCTTCCTCCCTCAGCCCCTGGCAACCACCCTTCTATTTTCTGTTTATGAATTTGAGTACTCTAGACACCCCATCCAAGTGAAATCACACGGTATTTGTCTTTTCGTGACTAGCTTATTTCACTTAGCAGAATGCCTTAATTTTCATCCCTGTTATAGCATCTGTAGGAATTACCTTCTTTTTTAAGGCTTAATAATGTTACAGCGCGTGTATGTGTGTGCATGTGTGTGCGTGTGTGTGTGTGTGTACAGAGCACATTTGCTTAGCCATTCATTCATCTATGTATACTTGGATAGCTTTCACCTCTTGGCTATTGTGAATAGTGCTGCTATAAACCTGGATATACAAATATATCATCAAGATCCTGCTTTCAATTTTTGGAGGTAAACACCCAGAATTGGAATTGCTGGATCATATGGTAATTTTATTTTTAATTTTATTTATTTATTTTGAGAGAGAGAGCGTGTTTGTGGGGGGGGGGGCAGAGGGAGAGAGATAATCCCAAGCAGACTCCAAGCTGAGTGTGGAGCCCAACGCAGGGCTTTATCTCACAACCCTGAGATCATGACCTAAGCTGAAATCCAGAGTCAGATGCTTAGCTGATGGAGCCACCCACGCACCCCTATTTTTAATTTTTTAAGAAACCAGATGATTCTTCTGCCCATCAAAGTTTGAGAAGCACTGGACTCGGAGATGAGAAAAGATATAATCAGGTGCCAGATTTGTATAGTAGGACCATAAATACTATGGAGGTTAGAAAGGAAGAGGAGACAATAGAAAGAATTAGCATGGGAGAAATGCTGCTGAGAAAAGGTGAGGATTGAGAGCAGCCTCAACACTTAGGGTTGAATGAAATGAAGTGCAAGGAGAAGGCGGTCTAGGTGGTATACCACAGAAGCAAGTCAAGGAAGAGGCCATGAGCGAGCAGGTAGGAAGAGAGAAAAATCAGGCTGGAGGCTCGTGGGAGATGAGGCTATCAGGAGAGGTTAGTTAGAGGTTAGTTAGATGATTGCAAGCCTTGAAATCCATGCAGATGGGTTCATATTTAATGCACAGACTAGGCAACTCTCAATGGCTCTTGAAGAGAAGTGACATGATAATTGTTGGGTCGTCATCCAGGAAAATTAATATCATCGATAAAATAGCATTAAAAGTGCATTTCTATATAAATTCCATTATAGTAAGAATTTCAATAAAATTATGTAAATTGTTATTGTAGTATTATAAATGATTATAAGTATATAATTATATTGTCCCCCTCTGCCCCCCAGAAGCTTCTAACAGAAAAAGGCGTAAAGAACAACTGAAGATTAGAGCATCTTCCACAATACCTGGCAAAATGCAGGAAAAAAAGTCTTTCCGTCTGAATGGGATAAATAATATGAAAATCTGTGTGAGGAAAGTGACGTGTCTTTGGGGTTTTACACAAACGCTAGCCAGAGTTGTGGCATTTGGAAGGTTTGTGAAAGGTCCACCACGTACCGGTACCATGACAGTGAACAACCAAACCACTTTATGTGGTAGTTTCCTCATCTATGAAATGGTGACAAGAATAGAACCTGACTTTTTTGTGATGATTTAATGAGTTAAGGTATGTAAAGCCCTTAGCACAGAGTCTGGTGCTGAATAACAAATAAATGCCATAGGGGTGCCTGGGTGGCTCAGTCGTTAAGCGTCTGCCTTTGGCTCAGGTCATGATCCCGGGGTCCTGGGGTCAAGTCCCGCATCGGGCTCCCTGCTCAGCAGGAAGCCTGCCTCTCCCTCTCCCACTCCCCCTGCTTGTGTTCCCTCTCTCGCTGTGTCTCTCTCTGTTAAATAAATAAATAAAATCTTAGAAAAACCAAACAAATGCCATATTAATGTTATTATCTGTACTCTCTGAAGACATAAATGGAAGTCAATAAAATAATTTCCAGTTCCAACAAGAAATCATCAAGCATCAGAAACTTTCAAACTCATAATTTCCCTCAACTAATTTAGGACTTGAAGATATTCTCCACGTGGATTTTCTTATTTGGAGCAAAGCAAATTTAAGGCATTGCTTACAAAATACGTAAATTTTAATAGTCCTCAAGAGGAATTCCAAGACTTACTTTTTTTCTGATCAGTCCAATTTTCCATTATTTTAACCTTTTTTTTTTTCTTTCTGCCGTCTCTATGCCATCCTTCTTAAAATATAAGATTCTAAACAATAAGGACCTGACTGGGAGTGGGAATAAAACGGTTGGTTGGGCTGATAAGTCTTGGGGGCAGAAACCAACTCTGTTGTGTTCAGTGTGGAGTCTTTGCCTCCCCCTGCCACTCCCCTCCCCGCATCTGACGTGTGGGAGAAGACCAATCAAAGCAACAATGGCTTGTGGCCTCCCAGGCCATCCTTCATCACAACCCTTCAGTTGTTGCTATTACTAATTTGAAGGAGCAGATAATGACTCGATGAAAGATGGCGGATCATTGCATATGGCAGCTTCGACAGTGATGACCTCAGGACAAACTTCTGAAAAGTCTGAAGTAGGAGAATAGTATTGTACCACCAATAACTACCTGGTTTAATAATTTACGACCCAAAGCAGCGCTGGGGAAACAACGTGGTGACAAAAAGAAAGGGAGCAGTGCAGGAAAGAGAAAAGAAAACAAAAATGCAAAACAAAAACAATAAACTAGGTTTTGCCTCATGGATACATTTCTAGGCACGTGCGCATTTTAGAATGGCACCAATTTATCAGGGAGAAGTATTTGCTGACTGAGTGCTGGTCATAGATATTTCTCAGAAGTAATCCTCATGGGGCGCCTGGGTGGCTCTGTCATTAAGTGTCTGCCTTCAGCTCAGGTCGTGATCCCAGGGTCCTGGGATCGAGCCCCAAATCAGGTTCCCCGCTCGGCAGGAAGCCTGCTTCTCCCTCTCCCACTCCCCCTGCTTGTGTTCCCTCTCTCGCTGTGTTCTCTCAGTCAAATAAATAAATAAAATCTTGAAAAAAAAAAAAGAAGTAATCCTCATTAGGAAACATTTTGAGAGTTTATAATCAAGCAGGGGCTAGATGAGGATGTCTGTTGATGTGACCAGGGTTCTCGGTCACATACACTCTGGTTCTCAGGTCGCTCGGCCATACACTCTGTATTAAGCCACTGACCTGCTTTAATCCCCCACGGAGCTACTGAAGGTCATTGGGGCCTGAGGCCTCAACGGATCAGGACTCTCCGAATTGAGTTGATTCCTGAGTGTTTATGAAAGAAAGCCCCGTGGGGGCCACACAATGGTCTTCAGGGCCAAAGACTGCATCCAGGCTGTGACTGTTGAGGCTCCCATTTGGGTCAATGACAGAAAACTCTAAGAGGACTCTGGATTCCTTTATAAACCAAATCAAACCCCTGAAAAGACAGTGAGAATTAATATTAGCAGACTTGCAAACCCTCTCTCTAAAAATCCCGGATAAGGAGCCTATGACTTGGCTGGGCCACTGGTCACCAAGGCACATCTAAGTCACAAATTGGGACTATCTCTCACGTGGAGTGGCAAGAAACCAAACATCTTTCCTGCCCCTGAAGAGAACCCTGGGCTTCATAAAAGAGAGCTGCTCTCTTTGATCTCCCAGTCAGGATTATCTTTGTGTTATAAAACAGAATCATGTGAGTTTGGGAGGTACGATGATTAGTTTTATGTGTCAGCTTGGCTAGGCTGTAGTACATAGATATTCAACCAATTACTAATCTAGGTGGTTCTGTGAAAATGCAGTTGACCCTTGAACAATTTGAAGGTTGGGGCACTGACCCCCACACAATGGAAAGTCCAGGTATAACTTTTGACTCCCCCAAAACTTAACTACTAATACTCTATTTTTTTATCAGAAGCCTCACTGATAAAGTAGATTAGCACATATTTTGTTTGTTATATGTATTATATACTGTATTCTTACAATAAAGTAAGCTAGGGAAAAGAAAATGTTATTAGGAAAATCATAAGAAAGAGAAAATACATTTACAGGACTGCACTGTATTTACCAACACAGCAGTTAAGTTGATATCATCCGTTTACATGATGAATTGTCAATACCTATACCATTATTATCTATGTGACACAAATCATTGTAGACGTTATATGTCCTACTAACACTAGACATCCAAAATGAAAAGATAACATGAAAAAAGAAATTCATACTTATTGACAGGTATAGTGATTCTTGCTTTGATAACAAAGAAGCAGCAATATGATTGCTTTGTGGTAAACTACTGTAATCAATACAATTACTTCAAGGTAGCCCAGCCTATACACCAGTGAATGAATCATAAAATTTTA